GAACCCTGTATTGTTACTTTTTTTAACAGTAGTGGCATTCGTCGCACGAGGCGCAGTTTCCATCGTATCTGTTGCTTCCACCGTAACAGAACGGGGCGGAGGCGTCGCAGTCTGAGTGTGCAGTGCAACCGCCTTCAACGATCCCCCCTGGGGAGGAGAGAGGCGGTGGGAACTCTGTACCCCCCCTCGTTAGGCTCGACCCCTGCCTCCCCAACCCCTCCCCAAGGCTGGCTCACTAGGGCAGGTGCAGTCAGACGGAGTCCATGCGGATCCGCGACACCAAGCGCCATGCGCAGAGAATGTTGGGTGCTCTTGACAGTATTCCCGAGCCCAGTCATTGCTGGGATCTGTGTCTCGTTGTTGCACCACCAGAGACCGGCCAGCCCACCTGCCCAACACAAGAATGTCTTCTTTCATTTCGCAGGGTCAGCCCCACCCCACTCCATTACCCCCCCGCCCCTCCGAGTCCGCCGCTCACGCCCCCCCCCCCGCCCGCACACACACACATAAACATAATGAACTGACACTGCAACACGTGCATCCCAAATTTGCAAGCAGCAAGAGCCCCCTCTCCTTCCCGGAAACCTACCGCCCAACCCAGGCGCTCAGGGCCCAGCCGGTGGAGGGGAGGTGGGAGGTGGGAGAGGGGAGAGGGGAGAGGGGAGAGGGGAGCGGAGAGAGGGGAGGAGGAGGGTGTGATCTCGGGTGTGCCCCCCCCCCAGCATGAAGGATTAGAGGCGGTGGGAAAAAGCAGGATGTAGGATGGACAGAGGACGTCAGAGAGCGGCTAGAGAGGAGAGAGGAGAGGGGAGAGACCAGAGATGAGAGCGGCGAGAGAGGAGAGAGGAGAGGGGAGAGTCAAGAGATGAGAGCGGCTCTCGCAACATCGTTCGTCTTCGATCTCGAAGCAAAGGCGCGGGCGACCCCGGCTGTCGCAAGGTCGTTCAAGGAGGGCTGGTGGGCGATCGAGCGCATCTTTTACGGCTTCTTTCAGCACTCCAACACCGCCCTCGCCGTCCCCAAGGCTGATGGCTTCAACGGCTCACACGACGTCCACATGTTCGCGGGGGACTGCAAGGATGCGGCCGCCGCGCGGAAGGATGGGCTCCTGACCATGTACAGCTAGTATTGAGCCGTGCTGTGCTTATCGTGCCGTGCCGTGTAGTGTGCCGTGTAGTGTGCCGCATGTTGCCACACGTCACGCGCCCCTCCTCACCCCCGCACCGGCTCCCTGTCACCAGCGCGGTATTCCATGCGCGTGCCCGCCGTGCATTGCTCTTCAGTGGGGGGACTGCGAGATGGTCGCCGTCTTTGGCAAGGTCAAGAAGCAGAAGGCGCCGCGTGCCGCAGGCGAGACGGCCTGCGGCAGTTGGAGTCGCTGGAGGTGTAGGGTGGTATGGAGGGCGGCGCAAAGGGCTGTGTGGAGGGCGGGGTGGAGGGCGGAATGGAGGGCGGCGTTGCTGGCAGCGTAGAGGGCGGCGGCAGCGGCGGCGGTGGGGCTGGCGGCGGCGTGGAGGGCGGAGGAATGGGGGGCGGCGGTGAGGGCGGCGGCGGGGCTGGTGGCGGGGCTGGAGGTGGCGGCGCGGGAGGCGGCGGCGCGGGAGGCGGCGGCGCTGGTGGCGGCGTGGAGGGCGGAGGAATGGGGGGCGGCGGTGAGGGCGGCGGCGGGGCTGGTGGCGGGGCTGGAGGTGGCGGCGCGGGAGGCGGCGGCGTGGGAGGCGGCGGCGCTGGTGGCGTGGAAGGCGGCATGGAGGGTGGTATGGAGGGCGGCGCAAAGGGCTGTGTGGAGGGCGGGGTGGAGGGCGGAATGGAGGGCGGCGTTGCTGGCAGCGTAGAGGGCGGCGGCAGCGTCGGCGGTGGGGCTGGCGGCGGCGTGGAGGGCGGAGGAATGGGGGGCGGCGGTGAGGGCGGCGGCGGGGCTGGTGGCGGGGCTGGAGGTGGCGGCGCGGGAGGCGGCGGCGCGGGAGGCGGCGGCGCTGGTGGCGGCGTGGAGGGCGGAGGAATGGGGGGCGGCGGTGAGGGCGGCGGCGGGGCTGGTGGCGGGGCTGGAGGCGGCGGTGCCGGAGGCGGCGGCGTGGGCGGCGGCGGCGCTGGTGGCGTGGAAGGCGGCATGGAGGGTGGTATGGAGGGCGGCGCAAAGGGCTGTGTGGAGGGCGGGGTGGAGGGCGGGATGGAGGGTGGCGTTGTCGGCAGCGTAGAGGGCGGCGGCAGCGGCGGCGGTGGGGCTGGCGGCGGCGTGGAGGGCGGAGGAATGGGGGGCGGCGGTGAGGGCGGCGGCGGGGCTGGTGGCGGGGCTGGAGGTGGCGGTGCCGGAGGCGGCGGCGTGGGCGGCAGCGAGGGCGGCGGCGGTGGCGGCGGGCCATTAGCGTATAAGACTCCCGGTTCGTCGGGAGCAGCGGAAGGTGGCGCGGTGGGGCCAAGTGCGACGGGAGAAGGTGGGGGAGGCGCTGACGACGACTCTTCTGCTTGAAGCGCACGGCCAGCCTCGGAGGTGGGTGTGACCTTACACTCGCTTGCGGTCCCGTTGTAGAAGACACAGCTCGTGATGTTGATGAAAACGGCGCAGTAATCTCGGGCAATCTCGGCGCAGCAATCTTCGTTGTTTTCCGTGACCAGCACAACCGACGCCTCGAATCCGACGTCTCCCTGAGAGAAGCCCGGGAATGCTTGATAGGCGCCGCACGCAGGCGGCGGCGTCAGCGGTGGAGGCGGCGGCGTGGGAGGCGGCGGCGCTGGTGGCGGCGGCGACGGGCAAGCATCCGCGGCCCGCGGGGTTGTCCTTTCGCAGGGCGCGACCGTTTTACGTTCCATC